TATTTTGAACAAGATGGTTGTTTTTTTTTTTTTTTTGAAATATTTTTCTGTAGAATAATGTACATTAATAGAAATTTTATTTTTTCCCTAAATTAATAAAGTTGCATACGAAATATAAAATTTGAAAAATCAATTAATACAAGAATCTTGAAACAAAATAAATTTTGGGCAAGTATGATAGAACTATAAAGCTAATAAATGAAATGTCATATAGTCTCCTTTATCTGATTTATTCTCTCTCTATTCGTAAATTATAATATTACGATATCGACATGTAGAGATATTAAGCTCTCCGGTGGAGGCATTTTAATTTAAATGTTCTTCACGATAATTCAAACCATTTCTCTTGTTCTCTCTCTCTCTCTCTCTCTCTGTCGGTGTCAGCACTCTTGAGTCATGTTTCAATTTTAAGCTTTCACAATCTGTTCACGATACTTAACATAAAAAAACGATCGGGAAAGTATTTTTTCCTGGCAAAGATTCTCTTATCGATTTCTCGCGTACATGTTCGTAATTAGGTCAAGAGAATGGAGATGTGTACGAATCGGATCGGCCATTATCGAAATCCGTTGCTCGTAAATTTCTAGCGATATCATCTAGTACTGCTGCTAGTGATGCTAGGACCGACGACTGTCGATTAGCGGATTAGTATTATCTTCCTTTGTCGTATTATCATTGGCGTAACAGGACTCAAGGGAAGGTAAGGGCTCTTGCGTTTACGATCGAAGATATTGTGCCGAGGTTCCCTGTTCCCTTTAGATATCGCGTCATCAACAGTTACGTATCGTCGTGATCGTTTCAAGACGATCTTAATTTTATGACATCCCGTTTGCAATATCCTGCAAAGATATGAGAGTAATCACCTCTCGCAATACTGTACATCCTGAAGATGATCACCTTTAATATTTTTTAACCATCTTCAATCACATTTAAACCTTAATGTTATAGTTAAAATGCTGGATAACGAATTTCGAATTATATAGCTTCTTAGGAATACTTTTGAAGATAAGTCAAAGTACAACGTTAAACCCTCGAAAGATACTAGCAGTTATTTTCGTTAATGGCGTCAAAGTTGATCGAAACCCTTCTGGGTATGTCGTAAGATTAAAGTCCTGAAACGTTGATTTTCCGCTCCATTAAACTCTGGGACCTTATTACAAAGGCTTTAAGGCTCTAAGAGTATAATGAACAAAAAACTTTTTGCTCTTCACGCTGACAGACAGAATAAATAATTATATACATTTTGTTATACATATATATATATACATTGTTTTATATATACAATTATATACAATGTTTTCTTCCTTGAGTAATTTCTTCATAATTAATGTTTTAAATTACTTTTGATATATTTTAAATACGCAAATACAAACTTATCTTTTTTATTTTTAACGTATTTAATTTTTTTATTTCTACACTATTATAATTTAGAAGGTACGTAAAAAGTATTAAAAATATATGTTTTAGGGGATTGTGGCCGGCGCTCGCATTTTTTGAAGCATTCCTTTCTGCAATTAAAACTTTCTCAATGGATACACTTTGACGTTGGAGGGAGAGATCAGTGCCCGGAGAGTTTATCCTGAAGAGAAAGCCAAGTACCCAAACGCGTGGTTAATATTTTCTAAGCTTTATAAGGCTTATTAAAGTTTTACGTTATTAATATTCGTATTTATATTTTTTTATCGCCGACGATTGCAATTTCAATGACAGAATGTAATATCTTATCGAAACATTGCTTAATGTAGTCTGTCAAATACGACATTCTTTTTTTTAAATATCTCAAAGTATTTTGCCTTGATAAATTAGGACAACTTAGCATAATTTTTGCACGTGACGAGAACTCGACACTCCATTTCCTAAATTGTCAAAATGATCGGAAATCTGTAACCTTCTCTCTCATCACGTTCACAAGTTGCTATAACGAATCGTATTTAAGTGAATTCGAGTCACTCTAGATCCGAATATGTCGTGAGACAAGAGTCGAAGTTCATTCGCGTTGATTTCATCCATCGATTCCATCTTCTTCCCCTTCAAGTTTAACTTTTGCTCGAAGTTACCTCGAAGTTGCTACTCTGACTCATTGATTTAAAGTACGATCGTCGTGCTTGAATGAAACATCGGTTCGCGATTGCAGAATTCGAAAGTGCCGCGCAAAGTTTCGCACATCTATTTTTTATTGTGCCGTAAATATTTTGTCACATTTTTAATTAATTAGTTCGGGAGTGCCGTGCAAAGTGTCGCGCGTCTATTTTTTATCGTGTCGCGGATATTTTGTCATCTTTTTAATTGATTAGTTCGGGAGTGCCGTGTAAAGTTTCGCGCGTGCATTTTTAGCGTGTGACAAATTTGCGATTCGCGCGCGATCGTCATTAATCATAATTTTCGCGAGTGCAACGAATTTAATGACAATCTGATAATCTGAGAGGAAGAGCAGGCACAGAATGCGTCGGGCTTCAGATTGGAACTACTTTGGGGTAATTTATTATTTTTTATTGATATATTATATTATTTCTTATTAATCCCGCACATCTATTTCCATTTCTTCGATTCGCTTTTTGGATGACTTAAATATAAATCAAAGATTCGTATTTTATATAAAAGTTGTTATCTGAGAACAAATAATTTCTTTTGCAAAAATTATATATAATTATTTTATTAATATCTCTCTCCAATCTTTGTTTGTTAACTTTAAACTCGATGTGTATAATTTCTTGAAATATTAATTATTTGTGAGAGTTGCTAATAATTTAAATCTTATATTTTATATTACAGATCAATCAATGTTGTGCATCGACCGGTGAGTCTGAAATACTTTCAGTTTATAGTATAAAAACGCCAAGTATTGAATAAGTATATTTTTAAATAGTATATAGATACATCTTTTTGTAATATATATTTAATCAAATAAGTACATATAGCTTATTTAAATTTCAGCAGATTAGATATATCTTTATTTTTTTATTTTTAACTTTATCTACTTGTTGCAAGTTTGTATACTTGTTTATATATTTGGCGTATATTTTTTATCTATTTTTATAAAAGCTTTTTATGTTATATAATTTTATCCTGATATATATTTAGCACTTTATTGTGTAATAAATATTAAGTGACAATTATTAAACGTGATGGCTGTTAAATATGAGAGACCAGAAATACGTACAGCAAGTAGAAAAGATCAATGTAGTTGAAACAAAATCATTAAAACATACATCTCATCACAGTTTCTGTACATGGCGCTTTGATATACATATAGTCTCATTAACTTTGAGCAAAGTTACAGCGATAGAGCAAAAAGCATCATTTAATACTTTAGTACGCTTAGCGATTATGGAAAGGCGCAATTTTGTCAGGTAGATGGTTGGCACAGAAAACGCGGCTCGCACTTTCTTCCCATGTCACGGAACGAAGAATATTTTCGCAGTCTGTTAGTTATGCGTCTGTGCGAGAATCTTGGCACGATATTCTCTACCGGGTTGGAATTATAGATGTGTTGGGTCGCGATAAAGGCCGCCGAGAAGAGAACCTGGGAAAAAAGCTCGGGAAGAAGCCCGACACCAACGCGCAGCTTCTCGTATATAAAAGCGTAAAAATTAAAAAACTGCAGAGCAAGAATAAGTATAAGGCGGAGTGGCGTACGTTTTCTAAGTGGAAACCCCGCTTCTTAGAGACGTGAACGAGAATTTATGACTGTTTATGGAGCGTAATAAGTTAGGCGCGAAGATTGAAAAGTATACGAACGTGAGAGAGAGAGAGAGAGAGGAGGATGCGTTGCACTTTATGGAAATGTCCGGCCCAGTTTTACGGGTTACGCGTTTCACGAAACACGCCGTGTATGCAGATGCGCTTCGCATCAATAAATAGTCCGTTGCAACTGATGCGGATTATATTGCCGTTGTCCAGTTGTTGACTACAGACTATATACGTGCTGCGCGAATCAACAGCGTACGATTGCCCGAAGAAGCACGCGCAGTAATAAAAATTAATGGGTTTCTCTGGTCAGTTTATCTACATTTTTTTTGTTTCCCATTTGCATTCATTCTACGCGCATCGTTGTATTGTATATGTACATAATTTCGCTTTGCTGCATTGCCGCAGTGGTATAGTCGCGATTATACGATGTTTCCTTGCAACGAAAGACTGCCCAAATACCAAGCAGAAATATCACTTCAACTCGATTTAATATAAATTTCATGCGCGCATTTTTCAAGACATTTAAAACAAGAAATTAGAGAAATATATTATTTTTTAATCGACGATATATATTATTTTACCGACGACGCATTTTATAGATAACATCTTTTTCATTTTTCAGAAATAAAATAATGACAAGTATATATCTATGTATATCATGGGCGTCCGCAAGAGAAGACAAGAGGAAGCATTCGCTCCCTCCTTGGAATCATTTAAAAAATTAAGAATTTGCTCTCCTTTTGAATCAACACTGGAATTTATTTGCATATTTAATATAAAAAAAAATAAAAATAAAAACGTAGATATTTAAGAATCGCCGGACAGAATTTAAAAAAGTTAAGAATCTTCTCTCGACCGTACTGGCAAATATTATTTATTCAATCGCAACGTTTCGACCCTTCTTCGAGTTCTTATCAAGTGATTTGTAAAAATAAAAATAAAATTATAATTTTAAGATGTCAAGAACGAACATAGTATCGGTTTGACAACACGTCAAGACTCTTAGACAGTCTCCAATAACTCGTCTTTTGTTCTTGACATCTTAAAATTATAATTTTATTTTTATTTTTACAAATCACTCGATAAGGACTCAAAGAAGGATCGAAACGTTGCGATTGAATAAATAATATTTCCCAGTACGGTCGAGAGAAGATTCTTACCTTTTATAAAAAAAAAAAAAAAATGTTTAAATTAAGAAAGAACAAAAAGAAGTTGGAATTCCTCCTACTGGAAAAAATCCTGCAGACGTCCGTGACATATATGACTATACGCTTGAATGGAAATAAAAGATATTATTTTGTCGTACTCACCGGACTGTGCTCTGTGCGCGGGTAAGGGTGGAACAGGGGGCAATCCGCCGATACTACAAAGCGTCTGCCCGCTGCCGTACTTGATGCTTCTGCAGTGGCACGGCGTGGTGGGCGTCGTCAGCCCTTCGTTACCTCTGACGTTTCCTCCGATCACCGAGATCTCGTCAAGCTCGTGACCGCTGTCGTAGTGGAATAGCCTCGTCGCGCTCGTGCTGGGCCCCCCGACGCCGACGCCACTGTCATCCCCAGCACCGGCGTCGGCACGACCCCCGCCGGTGCCCCTGCCACCCCCACTCCGGCCCCTAAGCGACTGCACCAGCCGCTTGGCGCCCGAAGACATTCCACGAAGGTGATCCAGCCTTCCGGTCTTCGTCTCCTCTTGTCCCTAGCCAAAACCGCCCCAGTACACGCCCGGGGATATCCACCTGAAAGATCGCGTGTGTTCTTGTTTTTATATTTTTTATATAGTCGCCGTGTATGATACAATGCAACTGTCAAAAATATATCTTACGTTTGTAGGATTGAATATTGGCAGGTTTATCATATTTATTTATAAGTTTTAATAGGTTTTTCTCATGCAAGATTCGGCTCCACGAAATTGAAATGTGTCAGTAATTAGTTGAAATATTTAGAGCACTTTTGTTAAGTGCAATGTTTTTATTGTACGTTGTATTACAGTTAAATAGAAATTCGTAAAACGCGGATAACTATTTTATTGACCGCTGTTCAAATTTCGTCTGTTGGAACAAAAACAAGCCAGCGTTACATTTATGATAGGTATTTATGTATATAATTTGTAATATCTTTATCTAATTTTCTTCATGCAAAATTCATTTCCACAAAATTGAAAATATGTCAGTAATTAGTTTAAATATTTATAGTACTTTTGTTAAGTGCAATGTTTTTATTGTACATTTGTATTACAGCTAAATGAAAATTCGTAAAACGCGGACTATTTTATCGATGGCTTTGAATGTTTATATAATTTTTTCCAAATGCAATTGGCGGAATGCAATTGTGCAGCAGTCTAATACAACATAAATTAACTGCATCCTAATCTCTGTCCTATAATTGGGAAACTGTCGCGATAAGCGGTTTAAACGGTGGTTAATAGTTCCGATTATTGGTCTCGGCTGACCATATGAAGGACTATTCTACTTACCGCGTCGAAGATACAAATGACGCTTTTGACAAATCACTTATAATAAAATTGAAATATACCGGTTTGCCTGAGGTTATGTAACAATTTGGCTCGTATGAGATAAGAGTTTCACTATTTTCAATTTCGACAGACATTTATGATAAATGATCAGAGTCCGACGCATATATCTCCTTTAGTCTCCACTTTGCCGCTTTATCGATCTCGAAAGACTATGAAAGAGCAAAATGCGATGCTTAGAAGAACGATAACTTTTGATAATACGTGATACACTGGTTTTCCATTTTTGCGCTTACACTTTGATATAAAAACAAACGATGTTAAACGATAAAATATTTCGCGCATATATTGAAAAAAAACTAAGACTCACGTCTTATAGAGAATAAACAGATAATGGATATAATTTAGACACCAAAGATGACACGAGATACTTCAACATATTAACGGATCACTGACTTTATGGCGCGCACATTATATATTCGCACACGAGAGCAAAGTACGATAACGACCTTTAAAGTTCAAGGAGGATTACGAGGGTTAAAGTCTAAACGTAAGGGATCTTCGACTTCCCCTATCCCATATATATAGTATATACGACGATAATCGCTAAGCCGGGGTGGGACTAGAAATATGAGCGGGATGAGACACAGGCAGATCTGTCGTGTTTGACAGATTACACTTACCACGTGGTGATAGCCGCCGCGCGAAGTGACAGTTCTGCTCTCTCTTTCTCTCGCTGGCTACGTTTACCGCTAACGGTATAACGCCGCGCACAACCACGACCGGTGTCACCGAGCGTAGCACATGTTCGCTCTCTCTTGATTCCCGGTACGATACGGCGCGCGATTCACACGCCAATGACGCTCCGCTTCCGGTAGCCCGCTTCCGGCGTTACCCTCGCGATCGTTAATCGTGTCGCTTGAGCGTTCGTAAGCGCCAACGATCCCGTCGGCAGATCACCGTGGGGGATGATCGCGCGACGATCGGCGGCATGCCACGTGACTCTTCTCGCCGGGCGCGTCGCTTCCGCTCGGGGAAGTGATCGCGCTAACGATCACCGAGGGTGGCGTTTCGGGCGGCGCACTTTTTGCGAACGGTGATCGACAAGCGCGCGAGACACCGCGATGAGACGTCGCTCGCCACGTGACCATCCGCGATCATCCTTTCGTCGAGCGACATGCCGCGGAATCACCCTTGCGATTCACCGATTCGATGACGTCGCGCACGCTCTTCCTCGCACACTTCGACGCGTTTGCTCCCTTTTCTTTCTCGAGGCCGAAGAACGCCCCGGTGGCCCCGATATTGACACCGACAAACCCTCTTTAAGGGACGCGTCGACGTGCAACAAGTGTCTCGAGCGATGACACCCGTCTCATGTGCTACTGCTGCGCTGCTGCTGCGTCTCGCCTTTCAACCACACTCGCCGATGCACGCGATATTCTTCGTCCGATCCGTCGACAGACTCGTTCTCGAAGCACGATGCACAGCGCGATCTGGTATCTGGGAAGAACAGAAAAAGCCTCGGTTACTAGAAATTAAGCGCGGTTGAAGTTATATGTATCTGATATGGAAGCTGACGTGAGATTTCCACGAACCCTTTGTGAGAGGCCTCTGTAAGGGTTAGGCACTCAACGTTGATGGAGAAGTAATGAGCGGGAGATTAGAATGTGGCCTGCCGAAATTGCTAATATCGATTATGCCGAACCTCAAGTGCGAGCGGGGTTGGTTCATACGTTCGTTATGCTCGGGTTAATCTCGTGGGAATTAGAATGGCAAATCGGCCGTAATGGCTCTACATATCTCAAACGGACATTCAAATTGTTCTTGCTCAGATAGAAAGCATATCCTTATTATTGTATTATTTTAAATAATAATTAAAGTGTGATACACACCCAACATTGTGTGTGTGTGTGTTAAAAATTAAAACAATATTATTGATCATGATGCAGGAGCGAGAAAGAAAGGGAGAGTGTCTTCAAAAAATATAATATATCGAAACATCAATCAATCACTTGGTGAACTTTCGAGAAAAATTTCACGAATATTTAAAATAACATTACACAATACCATTATATTACGTATTAAATTTATATTTTTCGGTAGCCATTAGAACGAAGATTTTTCATATTCTGCGCAACAGCTGTGCAGAAGCTCGAATTTTTTAATTACTTTTTAACTATTTCGTCGATATACGCGCATACACGCTGTCAGGTGGCAAGATGATGGATGCCTCGTATAGCATTAGCTAGACGCGCGATACAAAAAATATATGTATACATGAGCAGGAAACGGGTGGATGAAAGAGAAAAGAGGATTGCGAATGCGAGGGAATGAACCAAGCAGAATGTAGGGACATTGAGCTGTCGCGCGTGTAACCGGCTCGTATTATTTTGCCCTTTTATTCTCGCACTGCACACAAAAAAGACACTTTGACACAGTGTGCTCGATCGTTTGACATCGCGATGCGAAAAAATGCCCCCACGGTATTATACACATATTAACAACGAAAAGAGACATTTTCTTCTCGCGGAGAAAAGATTTCTACACCAGAGTTTTTCGTCGTCTGTCACGTAGATTGTCGGGATAATTTCTAAATTTTTTTTTACATTTCTTCTCTCCTTACTTTCTCTCTTCCTTTTTCTAAAATTAATATAAAGAAGGAAGATGCGTGAAAATTATACGAGACAAAGTGAATTGTTATAACTGTGATCTCTTATTTACGGTTCTGCGATTATTATAAATTATATATAGGAGAGAGATATATCTTACATATTCTATGTATTCATATCTTATGTATTCACCAATCCATTTATTATTGAAATATCTCAATAAGACAACGAATCCGAATTATCCGCTGCACTTTATTTCGCATTCTTGTGCACCGATCGATAAATAATTAGCTCGCGGGAGCATCGCGATGCTCGATCTTCGAGCAGCGCGCGTTAAATTGATTTCGCATAACGAAGAACAATGGCTGTCGCATACGGGATGAATATTAGGAGCCCTTGCACGGCATCGGATAAATTATGTAGGCAACGAGAGTCTCGTTTTATTGCCGGCGGGGTCGTCGTGCCGCTGCAATCCGGGCGTAAACTCGACGGGCTCTCTCATATGGAAATTGTAACTTGAAAGTATAATATGGAAAAAAATCTCCGCCGGTGGTCTACGTTACTAGGGAGTACGTTTGTTTTAGCTTATAAAAATTCCGGTATAGAGGATTCGGAGTGTATTTATCTCGGCGGAAGCGGCAGTTTTCTTCGAAGCGCTTAGAAAGTGAGTCACGGCTCCACCTTTGATATCAATCTCTTTTTCTCTCAAAAATTTATTTCTCAAAGATTAAGACAAAAATCACGGGTAAATAATTTAGGCTAGGATTGCGCTAATTGTTAGGTAAGAGCCAATGTATCAGTTGCTGCGCTAAGTTTACTGCTTGCTTAGTTTTATTAGACGAAACAAATGTATGTTTTTAATCATGAAATTGGAAACGAAACAGACGTTTTCATCTGCCAAAATAAATAGAATTTTAGATGAAAATGAATATATTTACAGCGTACAACAGATACACGTAAAAAATATATCTTGATGCAAATAAATGAAATAAATATAAATGAATATTTCATGTCGCGTCGTTTAGTTGATTCGGAGTAAATAAATGAATACGCCAACTTGCACTCACGGTGCAATCTCATTAGAGCTTAATCTTAAACTGCTCCAATGTCTCAGTTAATGCACGACTCTGTGTAAGTGCTTAATCAGAGTGTGCTATATCTGCGGCATATCGCTCCCAAAATGCTTTCGTGTTCATAGCTTCATAACGACGCTTACGAGACTCATTTGTCATGGGCTCAACAATGCTGCACAATTTATACAACACCTATGCTATAAATTGCAAGCTATTCCAAAGAATATGTTAGAAAAACCTAAAAGTCTTTATGAAATGTATTAATAATGAAATTTAGAATTTTTTAAATAAAATAAAATCATTAAAATAATTATTCATTAATGTTTTAAATAAAAACTATGTTTCTATTTAATTTATTATCAATGTTTAGATATTTATAATTGACGTTTATAAACGTCTGTAACAAAAAATAACGTATACTTTTAATTTATCGATTCAATCATATTCTATGATCTTACTCCATGTTTATTAGCAGATAAAATCGATACAATACAACAATGTACGGTCAAAATCTGTTCAAATTTTTTGTCGAAATTTGCAGAAAATAACTCGTGCACGCTCCATATTTCCGTTGAAAATATTCCACAATGAAAACGGAATATTCGTTTGCAACGACCGTCATAAACTGAGGGACTCTATTTCTCTGATATTTTTTTGTCAATCGTGTTCGCGCGATCGGAAGCGCAGTGGTTGATCGATATCTCGCGAAACGAGATTTGGTTCAGCGAGATTTTCTACATCACAGCGTTCGATAAAGGATGAAAACTATATATATAATGATGAATTTTTGATAATTACACACGTATATACGCGACTGTGTATTCGATCCACTTCAATTTTTCCGAATTCTGTATTTCGCGCAGTATAAAATGATAAAAATTATCTTTTTATCATTTTAGGTTTTAAATAAATTAATTCCACGCAGTGGCATATGCATTACATTTTATGGAGGAATATGAAGTCTGAAAATCCGGTCTCGTGAAATTTTGCCATAGTTTTGCCGCATGGCTGCGCGAAATTATCACGAGGAAATATAGGAAAGATAGAGAGAATTTTCGCTCGCATCTCTCGAAGGTGCATCGACCGAAGCAAAGGGGTTGCACTCTGCAACACACCACGATGGCGCGTATACGCTCTGCGGCCGTAAATGGTCGAGTCCTATCGTCGCCGGCAATAAATGCAGATGTTGCAGTCTCTCACTTTACGGTCGATGCGTCTATGTTAGCGAGTTTACGTCCGCGCCGCGGCGTCGGCCGATTGCAACGAAATGCAGCGTTGCAACGGAGAGATAGAGAGAGAGAGAGAGAGAACGAATGACTCGGTTCGACTGAACCTAGTGATCTGCGTCGATGAATCGAAACGGAAATCTCTGGTGAGCGAGAACAACGCAGACGAAATCGGAACAAACAACGAGAATTCGTGCGCGCTTGTAAACATGACCAATTTTTTACGTTCTATCGATTGCACTGTTAATGGAAGCCTCAATTTTTCGCATCCGTTCGTTAATACACCGAAGTATGCTATCCGAAATTTAAGTACAATCGTGTAAGCGATATTTGGTTCCGAGGATATCAATTACGATGAATCATCAATACGATCCATTAATCAGGTCGTTTAGACTTGGTAACGTGTGATAGCAGTGAGAATAATTCACAATTTGATCTCGAAGTTCGCCGCTTAAACGTTATATTTTCGAAACACGACTTTCACGATTGAAGCGAAAAAAGCGCGCACGAAATAATAAATTAAAGTTCAGATGAGAAACAAACGCGTAGAATTTATAAATTGTTATGTTTTAAAAAGCGCGCAGATAAAAATGAGATGAAAATTGCGTTGAAAATATCCCAACTCGCGCGAAAAAATCCTTTGTTTAATATCCCGTTCTATGTTTATTCGTCGAGCATTTCGAGAGTATTCTCTCAAATTCGTATCTTAATATATTAAATTTTCGAGACAAATTATTTTAAAAATTTCATTTTTTAAAACTGCAAAAATCTATTAGGCAACCCGAAACAAACAATGATGTGCACGAATGTTTTACAATTCGGTGAGTCGCCCGATGGTTTTCTAAAGCAAAAAAAAAGAGAGAAAAAAGGGGAAAAAATGAAAAAATATACAGAAACACATATATACGGGTTACAAACGTTAACGACACATTCTGCGTGCCCACTTCGTTTGTTGAATTGATCGAGTTTGTTAAATTAAACTCAATATACAGTGTCGAAGCTTCTCATAGGTCCATTTTTACGCATCGTACTCAACTGTAGCTCGCGTATCAAAAGTCGCATGATGCGAATTGCAAAACAACCGAAAAAAAGTCTGATAGAGAGAGAGAGAGAGAGAGAGAGAGAAAGGGAGGAAGAAATAGTGAAAGAGAGAGAGAGAGCGAGGGATGGGGAAAATAGAAACAGGAACCGCGTGAATGGAATTCCGTGAAAATCGAGTGGAAGCAGCCAATAGACTAAGTGAAAAGAGTGTCGACTATTTTGACACGATGCATCCAATATAGATTCGGCTGAATACTAGTTGGAAGAGAAACTCTAACTCTTTACTTTGTACAAATATATAATCCTGTATACACGTTACGCTAGGATATCGAGAATGATGGAAAATATAATTCTAAAATATACATAGGATATGGAATGGAAAAAATCATACAATCAGGAAAGAGACAAAGAGGAAAGATAACTTTTTTCTAGGCTTTGTTTCTTAAAATTGGTCTTAAAAATTTCAAAATGCAAATCTTACTTTATCAAATTTGTCTCATCTATTTAATGCAATTTTGTATAATGAGAGAAAAATTTCTTGTTTAATTTAT